CAGCAGGTTGAGGCTGCCGTGGCCGGGAGCGGCCACTGCACTCCAGTCTGGGCGACAGAGTGAGACTCCAACTCAAAAAAATAAACAAATAAAAAAACCAGCCTGGACAACAAAGCGAGATCCGCCCCTCCCCATTAATTAAAGAATAACAATAAATTTTAGAAATGTGAATCCCTAGTTTCTCACTCTCCCTCATGCTCACTTTTCATGCAACTTGCTTGGAGACCTTCTCTCCCTCGGGAAGCAGAGGCGGAATTTGCAGGAAGGAAACGCGCCCACGTGCTTCCCAGCGTGAGCACCCAGGGAGGGCCTCCCCTGCCACCCCCGGCCCACATGCTGGGGGTGGGGAGCGTGGATGGGCCTCGCGGGTGGGCTCATAAAGGGCTTCAGCACCCAGGGGAGCTGGCGGCCGCTCGCAGAACAGGCGCGCCCCCCCACGGCCCCACGGCCCCCGTAGCGGGACCTGCACCCATGGAGGAGGAGGCGTACCTGCAGTACTACATGGATCAGTGCACCACCCAGGTGAGCCTGGACGCCGCTGCTGCCCCAGGTCACGCCCGAGTCCCTGCCGGTTGTGAGTGCCCAGTCCTGTGTGCGGCAAGGGCTTTGCCACCCTCGTTTCTTCCAAAGTTCAGGCGACCTTCAGAAGTGGGCCGAGCACCCAGCCTTTCAACTGGACGTTGGAAGCTTGGAGAAGTAAACTGTTCGGTCAAGGTTGCCCATGAGAACTCATACCTGGTCTAGAGCTCCCTCACCAGATTGGTTCACGTATGCACTTGAGATAGATAGGGTCTCGCTCTGTTGCCCAGGCTGGAGTGCAGTGGGCAACTGTATCTCACTGCAGTCTCGACTCCGGGGCTCAGGTGACCCCTGTGTCAACCTTCCAAGTAGCTAGGGCTATAGGTGTGTGTTGCCACATCGGCTAACAGTTTGCTTTTCAGTTTTTTTGGCATAAGACCCGGCACGGTGGCTCTCACCCGTCACCTCAGCCTAGGCTATACAGCAACACAGCATCTCTGCAAGGTGTTTTAAAACTGGACAGGTGTGGCGGTGCACGCCTGTAGACCCAGCTACTCGAGAGACAAGGTCGGAGGATCGCCTGAGCCCAGGAGCTTGAGGCTATAGAGACAGGCCTTCTCTAAGTTACCGGGCTGGGTCGCCAGATTAAACTGTCTGCCCTAGTACTCGAGGAACACACACACACACACACACACACAGAGTTTGCTTTGTGCTTGCAGTAGTGGTCTCCGGTTCCAGCCAGCCTCTGCTTCGCTACGGTGTTAACACCAACAATAGACCTCGAGAAATAGTCTTTCTGCAGGAGTTGGTGGCCACTACCTTTGCTAACAAGTGGACTGGAAACACCTGTAGCTTCTTTTGGTTAACGAGTATGTTTTCTTGCTGATTTAAAAAGGAAAATCTTGACTCACGTCTATGCATCCCAGTACTTTGTGACGTCAAGGCAGAAGGATCACTTGAGGCCAGGAGTTCAAATCCAGGCTGGGCAACAGTGAGACCCCCACCCCCACCCCCCGCCACCATCTCTACAAAAGTTTAAAAATTAGCTGGTTGTGGTAAAATGCACTTGTAGTCCCAGCTACTTGGGAGCTGAGGCTGAGGCTGGATAATAGATTGAGCTCAAGGTTAGAATTGAGCCATGATCCGGCCACTGTGCTCAAACCTGGGTGACAGAGCAAGACCCTGGCTCAAATAAAGAAAGAAGCTTTAGCGCCAAGTACTGTAGAAAAGAGAGTCTCAAAAAAAGCAAGACAGCAACCGTTTTATGGGAGACTTTGAAGCAACAGTGATGGGTGCTGAGGCAGGCACAGTGACATCCCACAGCAAAAGAGCCCACGCAGGAAAGGTTCTGAGAAGATGAGTTGATGCTGTAAAACCTGTTCAGCACCACAGTTCTCCAGATGTGAGGCCAAGAATGCAATGAGCGGGCATCCCTGCAGACTCTGTGGTGTGTCCCCAGGAATCAGCTCGGCAGGGAGCTGCCAAGGCTTTAGGGCCTTGAGATATCACCTCCAGTAGCTCAGTGAATTCCCTGAGGGAGTGGCGCTCCCCTGGGTAAGAACTCTGACTCAGCTAGAATCCAGCTGTGATGGGAAAGAGGGAGGGAGACCCTGGCTGTTGCGGGGTGTAGTGCACACTGACTGATGAAATCCTTTCCGTCGAGGACAGGGGAGGCCAAGGTCCCGCGGCTCCACTTCACTTCTTTCAGGGCCGCCCTGTGGTTGAAGGTGGGGAGACATGATGGCTCATTTCCTGTTCTAAATCAAAATCATATTTCAAGCGAGTAGCTTCATTTGTCTAAGCGTTACCCTTAAATAATTAGTCACCCCTGCCATCTGCTGGACTCGTGATAACAGCACAATTCAGATGTGTCCAGACACGGTGTGTTAGGTCAGGCAGCGTTGTGCTGAGTTGTATTTGTGATCGGTCACCTGCCAAAAGAGAGATCTTCTTGAGTTCATCTCGCAAGCTGCACTGGAAATCTGGAAGCCAGGCCTGCAGCCTGGGCGAGGCAGGTGGTGAGGCTTGTACCAAGAGAATGGGTTTTCCGGGTAACAGAGCCGGTGACCTTGACATTAGCTGTTTCCCAGGTGCACACCTACCTTGGCTTCTGGGCCATGGTAGCTGAGCAGCCTTCCCTGGGCTGGAAGCACAATACATTGATTTAAACTGTTCTTAACGTTAAGATTCCAATAAGCATTTTCGTATTGTAAATTCATGTATTTAGGAGGTTTTCTTTTTTTCTTCCAAATCACTTCATACCTGAGAACAGAAGGTCCAACGCAAGGTCTTTAGTGAGGCTTGATTAGCATTCAAGACTATATCTTAACCTTCCTTCATGGATTTGCTTTAAAAATATAAACGGAAAACTCCAAAACGTAGTTAAGTCAACCAAAGTTTATAATTAAATAGCGCAGTATATCTGTTGTCTTCCAAGTGTGCACAGTTTACAGCATGCTTGCTCAATTGCCTCTATGATAATATTGGATTTAGAGAGTGGCAGCTCACCAGGGACCTAACTAAAGTAGGAAAGCGTTTATGGAAAATGCTTTCTCTGCATTTTAAGAGATACTTTCCTGTTTCTACTAAGTGTGCTTTGTAACTCTGTAAGACAATCTTACTGGTACTTTGTAGAATGAGGCAAGGCATGCATGTAAGCCCCTTGAACTGCCTCTTATCTTGAACACAATACCTGCCTGCCACAGTGGTACAGGAAGTCCCCAACATACAAATGAGTTCATTCTGAGAGCATGTTTCTAAGTCCAATTTGTTGTAAGTCCGACAAAGTTAGCCTAGATGCCCAACTCACCCGATCAGCTATAGAGTACCGTACGTACTTGACAGGCTATCCTGACACCTGGTGGAGAGAAATAATACATTAAAAAACACAAGTGTGCATCATTAAAGTACATAACTTGAAGGTTCGTGTATAGGGGACTTACTGTGTCCCTTTGGTGTAATGTGCTGTTCTTTTGTTGTGCTTTGTTTGTCTGTTTTGGGACCTGCCTAGGATGCCCTTGCCCCACCTGGGACTCCCCTGCTCAGCCCAGTTGTGCCTTATGATGTGTACACACCTAATGCATACATTCCAGAGAATGCACTGAATTCACATCTTGAACTCCAAGAAACAACGGGCGATTTCTCATCTGTGGATCTTAGCTTCCTACCAGATGAACTGATCCAAGACAGTAAAGACCAGACCGTCACTGGAGGCAAGCATGACACAGAAGAAAAGTGTGAACCTCAAAGTGAACAAAGCAGGTCGCCACCACCCAGCACACAGGACTCTGGGCTGGTCTTAAACAGCAGCAGTGCATCAAGTTCCCATTCATTTCTGCACCCTGGTGATGCAGACGCAGTCCAGCCCTTTCCTGAGAAACCCACCTCCAGCAGCTTGCCTCTGGCATCCTCAACTCCCATGACACCGATGACCCTGGTTTCGGAATGTTGTGGGATAGTGCCTCAGCTGCAGTAAGTTTATCCTTTTCTTTCCATTGAGCAATGCTTCTGGATACATGTTCTATGTGCCCGGATGCGATGGCAACTAATTTCAGGATGGTAGCGTAGGGGAGAGACCTTCGGATTGCATTGTTTGTTTTTTCAGTTCTTCAGAGATTGTGGCTTTAGACAATTTGATTATCTGTAAAATGAAGCACTACTTCTTGATCCTTTAAAAGGGTGTTGATGATTAATAGATACACTCTAGAAAGACTGTATCATTGATACTAAAGCACTGAAGTTCCTGAACATTATGGCCGGGGTTGGATAAACACAAAGGGCATAAAGAGGTAAAATCGAATTTGATTTGCACAAATTTGATTCAGAGTTGTACTTCTATTTTGAGGCATTCTTTTGTAACGGATCTAAAGCTGAATTTTAGGCGGTCAGTCATTACATTTCAGAAACTGGTATTCATGACTTCGTTTGGGGACTTTATATTTTACTAGGGACCATGTCACTGTTTATTCACATCCGTAATAATTCTCCCCCTCAGAAGTTGCTAAGGCACAACATATGAAATTAGGAAATGCACATGTTATTCTTGTCCGTTCTTCTTTTTTAGTCTTTATATGTGACTTACCTTTCTAAATTTACTTTTCTTCAGGAATATAGTTTCTACTGCAAACCTGGCCTGCACATTGGATCTAAAGAAAATAGCTTTGCATGCAAAAAATGTAGAATATAACCCAAAGGTAAGGTTTCTCGGTAGTCCTCTCAGCAACTAGCTTCTCTGTAGATTTTCTTTCCTTCCTATGATCATGATATTGAGTCTTTCCTTTGTTTTGTTTTCTCTTTTGTTTAATTTCTTTTTTTTTCTTAATCGTAATGTGGGTCTCACTATGTCGCCCAGGCTGGTATTGAACTCTTGGCCTCAAGAAATTCTCCCACCTCAGCCTCCCAAAGTGTTGGAATTACAGGCAAGAGCCACGGCACCTGGGCTATTTTTATTTTCTCTTTAAAAGAAGAATTGTTTTTAAGTGAAAAAGCTTTTGGTTAACTCCTAACGTTAATCATTTCACTCTCTGCTTTATCATTATAAAAAATAATCCGGCTGGGCTCAGTGGCTCCCGCCTATAATCCCAGCATTTTGGGAGGCCAAGACAAGAGGATCGTCTGAGCCCAGGAGTTCCAGATCAGCCTGGGCACCACAGCGAGACAAGTAAAAAACTTAGACAGGCGCGGTAGTGTGTGCCCGTAGTCCCAGCTACTTGGAAGAATGAGGCAGAAGGATCACCTGAGCCTAGCGGGTTGAGGCTCTGGTGTCCATGATTGTGACGCTGCACTCCATTCTGGACAACAGAATTTAAAAAACCCAATTCATTCCCTGTACTGAATAAAGTAACTGAGTAGTTCCTAAAAGTTAAGACCTTTTCCTTTTCAGTATCACTATTTTCAGCCTGGCTGTTGGGACACTGGCTTTTTAAAAATGCCTTCATATTCTTGGAAATACTTTCTTCTAAATGTTGTCTCAGGTGGCTGACACTTGTGTATTTCTTCATTTACCCTTTATTTTATTTGAGAAAGTCATATTGTTTAAAGTTCAGGCCTCAACTTCCTACGATTCAGGAATTTTTTTTATCCCCTCCAAGTTTAGTAAAATCTATCCTTTCTTGTGTCCTGCCAGGGTCAGGCATCCCATTTTCAGTGACCTCTTTACTTAGGGGAACTGGATTTGTCAATCCAATCAACCTTTCATGATTTGCCATCCTCTGGACTTAGGAGTACAAAGATGAGTAAGACTGGGCTCCTACTGAGAAAAGCCTCCCTGGCATCAGTGGTGGAGGATTTATCCAGTTAGGTAAAAAGGGCCACATTAGTCAGAGCCTAGAAAGCATCCACTCTGCCATTTTCTGTGTCATGTTGGCGGTTAATAATGATTTTGTTTCCCTGTGCACTGAATAGAAATCATAATAGACTCAATTTAGTTCTGTCATGGAGATAAACGGGATACACACTGTAAAGCTCTTAGCAAAGGGCCTGAAACATGACAGTTACTGATATTCTCCTTAACAGTTATTGGAATTGTTTGTACATGCTGGCGAGTGCATTTTAACTATAATCACGTTTGTTAATGTGGGGAGAAGAGACCCAGACATCATTTAGTGTTTCCATGCAATCTCTCTCTCTTCAAGACTCATATCTGGCTCCTTTTTTCCACCGGGATAATGTCCTCTCCTACGTACACAGAGATTGAATGCTGTCATCATGAGGATCCGAGAGCCCAGGACGACAGCCCTCATATTTAGCTCTGGGAAAGTCGTCTGCACTGGAGCCAAAAGGTATGGGAATCGTCCTTCCACCCTCACCAGACAGAAAGTTTAGTGTGTAAAGCAAGGAAGCATTATCTTTCCTGAAGAGTTGATTCCATAAAATGCCAAATTTGGGGTTAAAAATCTTGTAATACTGACTTATATGCCCCATTTACAGTCCCCCCAACCTATTAAGCTGAGGCTGTTACCACTTTTTTCTTTTTTGAGTCGAGGTCTCACTCTGCCACCCAGGCCGAGGTGCAGCAGCACGATCACAGCTCACCGCAGCCTAGACCTCCTGGGCTCAGGGGATCCTTCTACCTCAGCCTCTTGAGGAGCTGGGACTACAGGTGCACGCCAGCATACCCGGCTAAGTTTTCAATCTTTTATTGTAAAGATGACATCTGGCTATATTGCCCAGGCTGGTCTCAGACTCCTAGGCTCAAGTTATCATCCCGCCTCAGCCTCTTGACGTGCTGGGATGACAGACATGAGCCACCATGTTTCTAAGCTTGTTTCTAAGGTGCAAATTTTGTTTTCCTTTGAGTTGGAGTCATATTCCAACACCCTCGATTTGATGGGCTCCAGTGATCCTTCCACCTCAGCCTTCCAAGTAGCCGGAATTACAGGCACGCGCTACCACGTGTGGCTTTTTTATTTTTTTATTTTTAATTTACCGTAGAGCCGAGGTCTCGCCAAGTTGCCTGGCTGGTCTTGAACTCATGGGCTCAGGCAATCCTCTTACCTTGGCCTCCCAAACTGCTGAGATTATAGGTGTGAGCTACTGCACCTGGCCGCTATGGAAACTTTTAACAACTAATTGTTTCCATAGGAACTTCTGTGTCCTTTTAGGACGCCTGCTGTGATGTGATGTCCTACACAGCTGAAACTACGGGATGATGGAAACTTCTGAAATTTGAGCTTATTTACTTTTGGGGGAAACATTAACACGTCAGTTAGGCCAAACGTGGTTGTTCAAAATGGAAGCCATGTATTTCACTGCTAACGTGGGGACGTGGCTTTGCCAAGGGCATTTCAGGAATTAGAAGTGGGTGGGGAGAGCCAGGTGTGGTGGTGCCTGCCTGTAGTCCTAGCCATTCGGGAGACTGAGGTGGGAGCATCCCAGAAGTTCGAGGCTGCCATGAGCGTGATTGTGCCACTGCACTTCAGTCTGTGAGACCCCCGTCTGAAAACAAAAAGTGGGTGATGAGAATCCACATTAATTAAGGTGAGGTGTATATGAAGTAATGAATGCACAGGAGAGGGGCAGTCTTGGTGAGAGATCTAGGCAAGAGAAGCGGACACTCCCATTGGTCCAGGCAGACAAGTTCCAAAGGGTTTTTCCTCTAGATGACAACAGGGGCAGCCCGAGAGGAGTGTGGGATTCACCTGATTCACCTGCCAAGTGCCCCCATTCTGGAAAGCTCTGCTGTGCACTGTATTGTTCTGGCATGACAGTCGAAGAGAATCTCATGACAAAGGAAGCCTGGACTCTCAGGACTTCACCTTCTCCAGGAGGATCTAGGGTTTGAGTGGGACAGACACCATGAGGACATGGCCACAAAGCAGCCGAATTTTTCCCTCTCCTTCCTCTCCTTCCTCCTCCTTCTCCTTTTCCCTCCCTTTCTCTCCTCCTCCCTTTCCCCCCTTTCTGTCTTTTCTCTCCTTCTCTGTCTCTTCCTCCCTGTCTTCCCTCTCCCCCTCTCCCTCTCTATTTTCTTAAGAAACAGAATCTCACTCTCTTGCCCAGGCTGGAATGCAGTGGGGCAATCATGGCTCACAGTAGCCTTGACCATCTGGGATCCAGAGATCCTTCCACCTCAGCCTCCCAAGTAGCCGGAACTACAGGCACATTCCACTGTGCTCCACTAGAAGTTTTTTCTTGTGTTGGGTATGATTTGAATAACAATGTGTGAGAAAGCATGGGCAAAACTGGGTAGGTTTTGAGGTTTTTGTTTTTGAGGCTGGGTGTCTGTCGCCCAGGCTGGAGGGCAGTGGCACAATCACAGCTCACCATGACCTCGACCTCCTGGGCTCAGAAGATTCTTCTGCCTCAGCCTACTGAGTAGCTGGAACCACAGGCATACACCACCACACCCGACTGATTTTTTGTTGCAATGTGCTCTCACTATATCGCCCAGGCTGCTTTTAAACTCCTGGGCTCAAGTAATCCTCCTGCCTCGGGCTCCAGAAGTGCTGGGACTACAGGCGTGAGCCACTGTATCTGGCAGAGGTTTTGAGGCATTTTCATATGGTTATTTTTGGACAGTTCATCCCATGAAGCCCCAAGAACTGATGCCTTGTCTGGGCTGCTCAGCACATATCTCACCACCTCGTGTGGATTTTTCTGTACGTGTGTGTCCTTATTTTGGTGGTTCTTCCCACCTAAATGGCACACACTTGGAGACCCGAGAGATGGTTCTTAAACATTAGTGAGCACCGCGATGACTGCTGGACCCCACCCCCAGAGATTGTGTGTGGCTGGGTGGTACATGGCACGTCACCTTTCTAACAAGTTCCCAGATGATGATGCTGGTCTAGGGGTACACATCTGGAGATCCAGTGGAAATAATCTTATCAAATAGCATTTTAGTAAGAAGAACCTTAGAGATGAAAGATGATAAATTAAGTCAAGAATGTGTTTGTGGTTCCGTTCAACAACCGTGCATCGTACAAGACCGTTTACAAGGTGCTCAGGACACAAGGATGGGGGGTAAGGCCTCCTCACAGAGCTTAGTTTCGCCGTAAACATTGAAAGATAAGCACGGTGCTGATGGTAACAATACAACCAAAAAGAATGCAGTTCAGCAGTCTAGGGACATGTCATGAAGACATCTCTCAACATGTGTCTCTCCTCAGTGAAGAGCAGTCTCGACTCGCAGCGAGAAAGTATGCTCGTGTGGTGCAGAAGCTTGGGTTCCCTGCCAGATTCCTCGACTTTAAAATCCAGAACATGGTTGGGAGCTGTGATGTGAGATTTCCCATTCGGTTGGAAAGTTTGGTGCTAAACCACCAGCAGTTCAGTAGGTATGACAGTTACGTGGCTTCCCTTTGTGTTTACCAGGATATGTGAGTGATGTTTTGGGCTTCTAAGAGAATGTATGTTTCAGAGAAATTGGGATCATATAAAAGGTGGAACATGGTAGGCGAAAGAGTTAAGGTGCTGTGTTTGCATCCTCAGAGGTTATCCTATGTGCCCTGTTTTGTTGTTGTTGTTGTCTGTTTTGGTCAGGGGTTCACTCTGTTATTCAGGCCGGAGTGTGCAGTGGCACAATCGTGGCTCACCACAGCCTTGAACTCCTGGGCTTAGGCGATCCTTCACCTCAGCCTCCGAATGGCCGGGAGTGCAGGCCACAGTGCCCGGCTAATTTTGTATTTTTTATTTTGCAGAGATGAGGTCTCACTATGTTGTCCACATTGGTCTCAAACTCCCGGGCTCAAGTAATCCTCCTGCCTCAGCCTCTCAAAATACTGGGATTACGGGAGTGAGTCACCACACCCAGCCAACTCAATCTTTTGAAATAGTGATCAATGAACTTAAATTGCATAGGTAACACTGGACGACTTACTAGAATACATCCCTGGCTGTGCTTTGTCACCAGAGATTTCGCTTGAATTTGCTGTCCTAAAAAGCTCAGTGGTGATGTCAGAGGCCCACACACGAAGACCCACTGATCTGTAGATTTTGTAAAACAGGCACAAGTGGCTTGATGGCATTAGCAAAAGAGTTGGGGTTTGAGATGGATAAGTGAGAAGGGGCTGACCACCGGTGAGGGGGACAGGGATGGGGAGAAGTCAAAAAAGGATGGCGGTAGCACATTTTAGGAAAGCAGTCCTATCTGGTGTTGTCCTGATTTTTCGGTGGGGCGTGTGTGTTGGTGGTGGTGTGTGTGTGAGTGTGACTGCAGCCCCATCACAATCGGTGTATTCCTGTCCCCCGGGATATCTCTAGCCCTCCTGACTTCTCCCAACTTGCCGTCTCCACAGCCAGTGCCTCCACCCTCTCATAGCTGCTCTGGGGCTTCTCCACCCCCTTGGGACCTCCCTGAGCTGGAGGTTGATCAACACCAAATCCCTCTGCCCCCTGGGGTGGACACATGGGCAAGGCTCTTGACCTGGCTCTGATGCCCTTCAATTCTCTTGAACGAACTTCAGCCTAAGTCCTTTCATGCCACATCTTACCCTCTCTCTGCCATAGAGCAGTTCGTCCTGTTTGATAGCGTGCATGGGGTCCTGTAGCGGGGCATTCCCTGTCTTGTGTTGGTGTGCCTTTTATACTTGATCTGAGGTGTTAAAAATGGCTTTGCTTTTTCTAGACTTCTACAAAAGTTTAGTTTACATGGATTGGAAAATATGAATGAGTTTCCATTTATAGACACAATCCTGAATTCTAAAACTTAGGCTAGTTTAATTTTCTTTCTTTATATACCGCCTGTCCAAAAGACAAATAGCAGCAGTCTAGAAATTTGTTGCTGTTGTTGTTGTATCTGCTAAGCACATTTAACTTTAACAGTTCATAAGGGCATACACAATGTGTTTATTTGGGGGAAACCTGGAAAATCCAGTCTTTTTAGCAGACTTGTGTGAAAAGACAGGGAACGTTTAATCACCAAGATCTTCATATAAAATTAAATCAGATGCCTGAAGTCGCCACTATTTCTAATAACCTAGGATGGGTTGCACTTGAAAAACATATTGGGATCAAAAATTGTGTTCTCGACTGCCACAAGAAATTACTGAGGACACGCAAGACTCTGTTTCCTCGAGAGAGCAAAAAGGTTTTTGGTAAAACAGCTAACTTGTTTGCAGCTTCTCTAATATGCACGCTCATATATAGGGTCTTGAATGTTATGGGAAAGGAGTTGAATCATGTAATTTTTAAGGTCTTTTTTTTCTTTTATGTCTTAACAGTTACGAACCTGAACTGTTTCCTGGCCTTGTTTATAGAATGGTAAAACCACGGATTGTGTTGCTCATCTTTGCATCTGGGAAAGTTGTGTTGACAGGTAAGTGCTGATTTCAGACTGTCCTCAAACTCAGTAACTGTGCGTCTGCGTTGCTTACTCTTTTAAATAGGCTTTTTTACCATGAGAAAGTATTTCTTGCTCTTACAGAATACCGAGAACGGTGAAATGTAGAAGGAATATCGCATCACCCATAGGGCCCACTCCCTAAAATTTTTTTTCACACTTCTAGGTCATTTTGGAGTACATGTCACCTTGACATCTTGCCATTTCATATTTCATTTCACATTCATTTCATTTTTCACATTTGATTTCATTTTTCACACTTCACATTTCATATTTCACACTTCATTTCATATTTCATTTCATTTCATATTCCATTATATTTCATTTCATTTCATTTCACACTTCACATTTCACACTTCGTTTTATATTTCACACTTCATTTCATATTCCATTATAATTCATTTCATATTTCATTTTATTTCACTTTTCATTTCATCTTTCATTTCATATCATTTCATTTTCATATTTCATTTCGTTTTCATATTTCGTTTCATTTTCATATTTCGTTTCATTTTCATATTTCGTTTCATTTTCATTTTTCATTTTCCTATTTCATATCTCATTTCACTTCATATCTCATTTCCTATTTCACCTCATTTCCTATTTCACCTCATTTCCTATTTCATCTCATTTCCCTTTTCATTTCCCTTTTCATTTCACTTTCCATTTCATATTTCATTCCATTCCACTTCATATTTCATTTCACTTCATATTTCGCTTCATATTTCATTTCATATTTCATATCATTTCATATTTCATATTTCATTTCATTTCACTTCATATTTCATTTTACTTCATATTTCATTTTACTTCATATTTCATTTTACTTCATATTTCATTTCACTTATTTCATATTGCATTTGATATTTCATATCATTTCCTATTTGATTTCCTACTTCCTATTTCCTATCATTTCATTTCATATTTCATTTTATTTCATATTTCATATTTCATTTACTATTTCATATCATTTCATATTTCATATCATTTCATATTTCATTCCAATCCATTTCATATTTCATTCTGTTTCATATTTCATTTCATATTTCATTCCATTTTTCATATTTCATTTCATATTTCATTTATTTCATTTTTCATTTCTCTTCATTTCATTTTTCATTTTATTTTTCATTTCCTATTTCATTTCATATCTCATTATATTTCATTTCATTTCATATTTCATTATATATTTCATTTTTCATTTCATTTTTCATTTATTTCATTTTTCATTTCTCTTTTCATTTTTCATTTTATTTTTCATTTCATATTTCATTTCATATTTCATTGTATTTCATTTCATTTCATATTTCACGTTCCATTTCATATTTCATTTCATTTTTCATTTATTTCATTTTTCATTTCTCTTTTCATTTCATTTTTCATTTTAGTTTTCATTTCATATTTCATTATATTTCATTTCATATTTCATGTTTCTCTTCATTTCTCTTTTCATTTCTCCTTTAATTTCTCATTTCATTTTTCATTATATTTCATTTCATATTTCATTCCATTCCATA